CCTAATTTTACTTCCAAGGCTGTGTCACAATGGGCGAGTTAAATTTAACTCGTGGTTAAAAGTGACAGATAAGTTATCGAATAACCCGAGCGTGGTTATTTCGGACCGACTAGAGGTTAAATTTTGGTAACCGTGGCTGAAAACTGATCAATTTCCTGCATTTTCGAACATTGAAAAAACATTCGAAATGTCACGTTTAACCACGAGTTAAATTTAACTCGGCAATTGGAACACAGCCCAAGAAGTATTTCTTGATTACTTTTTCGAAGGAACGTATCAGTTTTTGTAAACAGCACATTTGATCGTCGATTTGCCGTAGCCGCTGTTTACAAAACCTGAAATGTTCTTTCGAAAAAGTAGTCGAGATTTGTAGTTATCATTCAGGCAAGGAGCGCTTGCGCCATCGACGTGACGCCGCTACCAGCAGCCAGTGATCTCAACGGGAACGACGCGCAAAGTTCGAGGTGCAAAACTCGGACGCTGCGCGCTTGGCAGGAACCGCCTTCCTACTGCTGCTACTGCTACATAGCAAAAAAAAAATGTAATATCGATCAATGTAATTAAAGCTGATGTATGAAATAATGATGTAATAGCAAAAAGAAGATACAATATTACATCAATGGATGTTATTTTGTTCGCAAAATCGATGTACATCGTACAATGTGATATTACACAACCGATGGATTGACCTGGTTGCAGCAGTTTCGATGTAATATTCAACAACTTTTTTTGCTGTGTACCTGCTTACCCGCCGTCCGAAGCGAAAATGAGTTGAGGCATATTAGCAACGCTGTTTTATAACTTTTCAGATTCAAGCAGCACGATGTGCAACCAAATGGTACTCGATTATCACGACTGGGTTTGGGGAGAACGTTTATTTCATTGAAACAGTGATAAAATTCATTTTTTATTTGTACACTTTGAAAACAGTTTTAATCTTAAAATCTCTGGTCACGTCACGGGAAGTAAAGCCGTTGGTCCCAGCCCATGTGTATTTTAATGGGTGCGATATACTACGCCGGTGTGGAAGCTGCCTTCCAGCACATTCGATTGCCGTCAATGGATGGCAATCGACGTCCGTCGGTGATTAGAACTAGATTGCGGAACAGAGACCGACGTTAAATAAAGGAAAAACAGTTTTAATGAAAAACTGAAAAAGCGTTTATTGTAACAGCTTACGAGAGTTATTTCCTATCGATTGGTGTATTTGGATTTTAATTTCATCTATAAATGACAAAGTTATAAGCTTTCAAAAACTTACACCTTTTCGTGGCGGTCGCAATTTTAGATTTTCGATTTACCCCCAGTACCTTCCCGTAAGACGTAGTCTTTGTCAAAAATCATAATCCACTATTCGTAGGCACCTAACCGTAAAAACCGAGGAACATGCCTCACGCGATCGAGGTCATCCCTCTAGCAAATGGCAAACGATGAAAATAAATCTGGATTACTTCCTCGAAGGGACGCATCTGCTCCCGCAAACAATGCATCCGATCCCCAATACGGCGCAACCGACATCTCGCCCACGCATGCCAACACCATCATCAGATAGGGAAAATTTTCCCCTACCTGATAGCGACACCAGCACGCGCCGGCAAACCACCAGTCCCCTTAAACCGACCATCAAATGCACTGCTCACAAAAGCAGATGTAATCGAGAAAAGTATAATAACAATCTTCAACTGGAACGTACTCACCCGTACATTCCCGATGCTTCCACGCATATTTTCCTGTAGTCATTTTAAAACAATTCCTGCTCCAGCGATTCCAACCACACAATACATAGATATCACAGCACGGTCGAGTCACACCGGCAACAAAGGGAAGCGAGAGCACACCGAGCACCAGGGGGGAAAACATCAGCACAACACTTTTCCTAATTCCAATTATCGCGCCCAGGACACAAAACTAATTAAATGCTAGCACCGAAGAATTCCACACCAGCACAGAAGCCTGAACTCAAAAATTCTGTGTCAAAAAATAAATAAACTAGAATAAAAACCCACAGCGGAGCAAAAACAAACCCGTTCTAGAACGATTCTCAAAGCGAACGTCATATTTTGTCCGAGAACTTATTGGCAAAATCTAAGATCCACCATCCTGGCCTGAATGATCTTTGTTAATTGATTACAATTGGTCTCCAAATTAGGCAGACTAGTACGTTGGTACTGCCTACGAATGCTGTTATGGAGTCCAATGAGGTCTTTAGTAGAGCTGTCAAGGTTCAGAGTGTTACTCACCTGTCTGGATGGCACGTGTTGGTTTAAGAAATCATCTACTCGATGGTATGTAGACACCTGTTAACGTTTTCAGACGTGTCCGGTTGGACATCGTAGCCGACCGATACATCGACGCAGTGTTAAAAACGTTCCCAGTTGACACGATGATAGTTGGGCCGAAAAGCTTCAAATTGGTTCACGGAAGATCTCACCTCAGCCACCACTGGATAGTGGAGTTCCTGGAAGGCAACCGGAGGGTCATGTTGCTGATGTAGAAGTCAATGGTGGTGTAAGCACCGGACCGACTCAGCTGGGTCCCACCCTCCGGACTCAAGATTCAAGATGTTGTAGTGAGCCGAAAGTCCGATAGATAGATGTTCACTTCCGGCTTTAGATGGGTTTTGGTGGTAATAGAATGTTCCAGTAAAATTTTCTACGTTTCCCTTACTTGAGTACTTAGATTAGCATTCTAAGTCCTACCTTTTTTACTGATTTTGAATTAACAGGAATAAAGTAAAGAAAAAATGACTGAGTACTGTCTGTTTTTGAGTGAGCACGTGATTGGTTGATTACGGCTGACAACTTTCATCAAATTTCTATAGTTAACCATCGATAAACAACTATCTTCTTTATATCAAACAAATCTTACATTCAATCTGAATAAAATGGCTTTATTTAAATTGAGTTCCATTCATAAATGACCGTGTTATAAGCCTTTAAAACCTTACACTATTCCGTCACACTTTTTTTTAATTTGCCCTCCTGTATAGATCATAAAGTCGTAGTCAAAAATATTCTTACGTGTGCGATGACGTGTGCCTTAAAGGAAAACAAATGTGAAGGTGACTTCCTGCATAAAGTATCAAGAAAAGAGCTGTTGGCGAGTCCACGCCAACGCGCCGCTACTGTAGGTCAACTGCAGCTCGGATTCAACCATTGGGCAACCAACCCTATGCGCACCGGTCTGAAAAGCTTCATGTCAATAGTGGTGAGTGGGTAGAAAACTAAAGTAGAAAACATTGAAAGTAGAAAAGTACATCAACCATAGCATCATGTTGCATTTAGTTTTCAATAAAAGTTTTTAAGTTCTAACAATTAAAATAAAAGAGCTAGTTGATTATTGATGGATGGATATATGGATTGAAACTAAATTATACTTAATATCACTTTATTTACTTAGTGATTAATGCCTACAAAGTGAATTCCCCGTGATTCCTAACCTAAAACTAAGCCTACAAATTGCAAAAAGTGTGAGTTAAACCCTCTTAATTTATGTAGAATACGCCTAACTTAATATATTATAGTACGGTTGAATAGTACGGGCAAATAGTACAGGCAAATGTTGTGATTGCACGAACATATTTGCCTGACAGTCGACAGTAGACGACTAGGACCAAGTCTATGCTGACGGACACATGATGAGACATATGAGACATGATGAGACAAGACATATGATAAGCGAACACCGAACACTTGAACATAAAACATTTATAGCATAAGGCGTTGGTTGGATGGTTGTCTTTATTAAGGAGATTTTCAGCCAGACGCTGGTTCATCTCCGGCTGTACCGGCGTTTTAATTCCGGTATTATTATTTTGGAATTTCCCGAGTCGTTGGCAATTCCCAAATTGTGTAGCAACGATGATAACGAACTAACTCTAAGTGTTTCTATCAGTTAGAAATTTTTGTGTACATCGCAATAAACACAAAGCTTAGAGTGGGATGCCAATTGTAGAATCTTCCTGTCCGCATCAAGTTAGCCCCAGATGGAACTTCGCTGATAACTTATCGCCACGTGGTGAATGTGATATCTCTTGACAACTGGACACTACCGACGTTGGAGTTTTAATGTTCTGCCTTTATTTTTACGTATAACAACCAGCAACCTGACTTGAAACATGCTGACGAGGAGTCATTTTTAGTCGAACAATTTACGGTGCGACATGATCGAGGCGATCGTCCCCACAATTGCCGGTTATGTTGAAATGCTGATTTAAGTAGACGCTGGAGTAGCGTTTAATGTTTCTATGTTATATTTTGCTGGAAGCATGTCCGTACACTACACCCTACACAGCAGGAACTTTGTAAATGTACATGTGACATATTTATGAACTTTCTAGCCTTTATTGAAACAGCAATAGCATTTCAATTTTATATGAAAGTGTTTAATTATACATTAAATTGCATTGAATTTAACATGTATGTGTGTTTCTATATTAAAGTCAAAAGTTCAATTGAAATTGATTTAATTTTCATCGAACAAAGATATAAATTTCCATGAACGTGTAATTTCAGCTTTAACGAATTGAATTTCAGATCTTTAAACGTGTAGTTTGATATTTAAAAACGTGCTTCGGTTGGTAGTTGAAAATTACAAAATATGTTTATCTGTGTATTACGCATTTTGCACCTTAGTAGACTCCTGAGCTGAAATTATTTTCTCATCCCTCACCTCACCCACAGGCGTGCATGCTTCGATCGTTTTTCTTGATTTGTTTTGATGGTTTTCCACTTACGCGCTTGTCAGATTGTATTCAATTGTTCTGTTCCACTGTTTTTGTTCTATTTTAATAAAACACACTAGATTTAGTTTAGTAACACTCCAATAGTCTCTTTATTCACTAGCGAACTGTACTCTTCGATACGCAGTAGAGTTATGAATGAATCAACAAAAGCATGAATGAAGTGAGAGGCAAGAGAATGAATGACAACCCAGAAGGGGTGCACATACTCTGTAGGGATGTTCAAGTAATGCAACATCCTCCCTGTTTCAACAAAACATCACTTGTACTCAATAACATAGTCCATCAGCTTCTCTGGAATACGAGACACCCGTTTCGGACGACTGTTGATGGAACTGGATGCTGAATTCAAATTCTCCTTAGGCTTCGGTGACTGACACATACGAGGCGCTGCGATCGGTAGAATCGGCGAAGTCGAAACTGGCACCACTGCCTGAGCTGGTGACTTGTTGTGAGAATTCTGGGTGAGAACTGATTGAGAACTGTCAACTGGATAACTGCAATTTTCTTCTTCGTTTTCTCCCTCCGATGGCTTTGGAACTGTGTTTGTTGTTAAATTTTCTGCCGACGATTCGGGTTCCTTACGCGGCTTCAAGTGAATCAAACTCCGACGATAGTTGCTGCCATTCACATTCACGGTGTAAGACCGATCACTGAGGCGATTGGCAACGGTTCTCGGCGTCCACTGTTTTGAAATTTCCGGATTCATCTGCACATAAACGGGTGATCCAGTCTGTAGGTCAGGTAGGTTTCTTGTTTTTCTGTCGTAATTCAATTTAATCTTCCTTCTGTTCTCCTCGATTGCTTCAGGAACATGTTCGACAACTTTCGGCATAAGATTCGCCCCGGATGTTGGTATTCCACAACGTGTAGAACGAGAAAACAAACGAGCAGCAGGACTAGAGCCAATCTTATTCGGGATGTTCCTCCAATGCAAAAGTGCATACCAGAAGTCCGTTCCGGTTTCCTCCGATTTCTTCAGTAAGCGCTTTGCAATCTTCACGGCTGCCTCCGATTTCCCGTTAGCCTGCTGATGATGAGGAGCCGAAGTGACGTGTTTGATGTCCCATTCCGTTGCAAACTTCCTCATTTTCTGGTTGAGGAAGTTCGTTCCATTGTCGGTCAACAAGGTTTGTGGTTTTCCATGTCGAGCGAAATTTCTACTGCAAGCTGCTATAACCGATTCCGGTGTCAGATCCTTTAGGATATCCACCTCAAAGAAATCTGAATAGTGGTCGACGGTGACCAGGAACTTCTGATTGCGACCACGGAACTCACTGAAGAAAACATCCATCGAGATCAACTGGAACGGATACAGGGGAATTTGATGACTCATCATGGGTGGATTCGGCTGCGACGAAGCAAATTTTGCGCAAACCGGACAACCTTTCACGACATCCTTGATTTGACTGCTCATGCCTGGCCAAAACAGGTTTGCTCTAGCCAACTTGAGAGTCGCTTCACTCCCATTGTGACTAACGTGACACTTTTCGATCATCTCTCTTCGCAAAGCATGTGGAACAAGAATGCGATCATGTCGAAAAACGATTCCATCCTGTACTGATATCTCATCCCGATACCCGAAATACACACGGAGTCCATCTGGTACTTTATCAGCCGTTCCAGGCCAACCTTGCTGAACAAAAGTGATGATGCTCTGCATACAAGGATCCCTCACCGTTTCATCCATGATCTCGTTCAGGCAACTGTCCGATATGTTAAGAAACTTCGTAAGCTCCAACCCTTCGACATCATCAAACACTTTGTAAATGTGCATCTTGTTATATTCGTCTTTCACTGCCTTGTCATCGAACGGTGCACGGGATAGCGCATCAGCCACAACATTTTCCTTTCCTGTGACGAACTCAATTACCAAATTGTAACGTTGTAGGTTGAGCAGCATATGTTGCAATCTTCTTGGAGCAGACAACAAAGGCTTCCGGAAAATGCTGATCAAGGGCTTATGATCGGTCTTCACAATCGTTTTCGGATTTCCAACCACAAGTTGGTCGAAACGAACACACGCAAACAGAATCGCCAACAGCTCCTTATCCATCTGCGCGTAGTTTCGTTCAGTCGCAGTCAACGTCCTTGAGGCATAGCCTATTATTCCTTCATCCTGGTAGACAGCAACTCCCAATCCAAAGCAACTTGCATCGCATTCAATGGTCAATGGTTTTCTTGGGTTATAGTACTGCAAGGTTCCAACGTCTGCAACCAAGCCCTTTACTCGGTTGAACTCTTCCACCTCAATATTCGTCCAGCGCCAGGGAACTTCATCTGAAATCAGCTTACGAAGGTTTGTCAGGTTGCTGCTAAGATTTGGAATAAATCTGCCCAAATAGTTCACCATTCCAATAAAACGGTGTATTTCCTTCCGGTTGAGAGGTGTAGGAAAATTTTGGATCGTAGCAACCTTCGACTCATCTGGTAGAAGACCTTTGCTTGACAGGACATGTCCGAAGAATTTCACAGACGTTTGGCAGAGCTTGAGCTTCGTTTTGTTCAGTTTTACGTTGTGCTCTTCCAGGCGAATTAGAAGATTCTTCAAGCATCTGTTGTGGTTAATGAGCGCTTCTTGCAAAGTTTCCCCAACTCCAAATATCAGCAAATCGTCTGCCAAACATTCGACTCCTTCGAGACCCTGGATAACCTCCTGCAGCTTCGTCTGGAAGATTTCAGGAGCTGATGCGATACCAAAAGGCAGCCTAGTCCAACGATACCGACCGAAAGGAGTCCAAAATGTTGTAAGCTTGCTGCTGGGTTCGTCGAGCTCTACGTGCCAAAACCCTTTCTTGGCGTCCGCAGTAGAAAACACCTTCGCCTTGCCCAGCTCAGGAAGAATTTCATCCAGTGTAGCAAACTGTAGGTTCGGTCTCTTCAGCGCCTTGTTGAGTGGAATAGGATCAAGACAGATTCTGATGCTTGAAGATTCCGGGTCACCCCGTTGCACAATCACAATGTTGCTGACCCAATCGGTATGCCTGGCTTCCTTCACGATCATTCCCTCCTTCTCCAATGATTCCAATTCGTTCTTCAACTTGCTTCTCAGGGCGATCGGAACACGACGAGGAGGTTGGATTGAAGGTGTAACAGAATGGTCTACCTCCAACGATACTTGACCTTCAAATTTTCCGTAACCAGAAAAGATTCCTTTGTGGCCTTGGATAATCTTCTCCGCTTCGATCCTGTGAACATTCAACAAGTTTGGCGAATTTGCTTCATCAGACTTACCGAATGTGACCGATTTGCAGAACTTGACGAAGCCCAGAACACGTGATGCCTTTGCCGACAGTAGGGGGCAATGGTCCACGTCCACAACTTGCAGAACCAATCGGTATCGACGCTTCATCCGACGGCACGGTATCTTCACTTCCCCAAGCACTTTGATGGGATTCCCACCGAAGCTTTGGAGCTTGTACGTCGACGGCATCATCTGCGGGGTTTCCTCTCCTGTGAGTTTGACCAACCAATTATGGCCAATCAGGCTGGTATTAGCTCCGGTGTCCACTTCGCAAATCACTGACTTCCACTTGTTATCAAAGTTGAGATCCAACTCAGCCATCACGCCACCTCCTTTCGATGAATTATCGAAAATCTTGCCGATTTCGTATTCGTCCTCGCTTGCTTCCGATGAACCTTCATTGCAAGAAAGTGCTTGCTCCTCCGAATCAGTGCTTTCGTCCTTCACCTCCTTCACCTTACGAGACTTCCTGTTCTGGAATCTGTTGCTGGCCTTGCATACCTTTCCGAAATGGTTCCTTCCGTTGCACCTATGGCACCGCTTACCAAGAGCGGGACAGGAACCTTTAGAGAAGTCATGACGGTCTCCGCAGAACTTGCACCGCTGTGATTGAGGCTTGGAACGGAACTTAGCTTTCGCGACTTTGTTCACCTCTACTTCCGGATAGAAAACTGAAAGTTCCTGGTACCGCTTAGTCGTGATCTCCTCCGCTCGACACATGTCTATCGCTTTCGTCAATGTTATGTCTGCAATGCTTAACATTTTTGATCGCATACTTGGCCACTTGTTGGACGTGACCACCTTATATGCGATAAGGTCCGTCTCTAGCACTCCGAGTTTAGCCATTTTTGCCAGAGTCTTGAGACGAGAGGCATAATCGTCGATTGATTCTCGAGTCTGCTGTGTCGTAGAGAAAAAGTCGAGCCGGTCCACTATGACATTCCTCTTCGCAACAACCTTCTCTCGTATGGCGGCCAATGTGGCCTCCGGATCTGCACCTTCCGCTGCTGTCAACTCGAAGTTGAAGTATTTTTTCCTTGCCGGCTCTCCTATGACCGACAGCAAGAAGCTTACCTTCTGTGGGTTTTCTTCTGGCGGCCACCGATCCATACCAATGGCCTTAGCGTAGTCTTTCCAGCTTTTCTCAAAAAAATCCATGTTTTCCTGCATGTCGCCTTCCACTGCTAGCGGCGATGGTTGCGGAACCTGCACATTCGACGCACTTTGCCGCTGCATCGCTTGAGCCTGATTCTGCGTCGCTTGCATTCCCTCCATCATCTTCGTAAACATCTGCATTTGTTGCTCCAACAACATTTTCATTTGATTTGCATCCATTTTTAAGCGAATCACTCTTCACTCCCGATCCCGACCGAAAAATACAAAATGGCCGCTGACACGACGCGACTTGAGAACGATTTTCCCCGGACCGATTTCCGATTCGCGATTTCGATAATGACGCGAATTTTCACTTGAAGCACACGGTAACTTCTGACACCATGTTCTATTTTAATAAAACACACTAGATTTAGTTTAGTAACACTCCAATAGTCTCTTTATTCACTAGCGAACTGTACTCTTCGATACGCAGTAGAGTTATGAATGAATCAACAAAAGCATGAATGAAGTGAGAGGCAAGAGAATGAATGACAACCCAGAAGGGGTGCACATACTCTGTAGGGATGTTCAAGTAATGCAACAGTTTTCCTACAGGCTTCATTCCGGAATAAATAGTCTGCGGAAAAGTCAATTGTACCAGTGTCAAGGGGCGATCAACTCTGCACACTGTGCCGAAACACATCGTAGCACACTAATCGGCACGTTAGAGCGCTCGATGATAAGTATGAGATAGAATATAATATAAAATGGCATCACTGCTTTGAGTTGACATTTTGACAAGCGTTGCTAACGTAGTAAACGTTTGTTTACTTCACAGTAAAGGGGAAGTTTTTTTCAGATTATTTTTCTATTTTCCAGCGAGAGCATCCTCAATCAAAATAAAAGGTTGCACAATCGGTAGGATTCATGTTTTGGGTTAGAATAGGCCTGCTTACGTATTCCCAGATCGCAATAGAATACGGACTGAAAGCAAATTGTATAAACAAGAATAGTTACAGAATCCTGCTGGAATTTATTTGGTGGACGATGAGGATAAACGGATTAAAAGTAAAAAGTTGAGAGCCATGAGAAAGAAGAAGAGTAGCACTATTTATGTTTGTGTTGTTAACGAACAATCTCAGTGATTTCCTGTGTCTCCTGTTTATTTATAAGGGTTTTCAATAGTTCAAAACCATGGACGCAGTCGATAGAAACTCCCACCAAAACATGTTTAGCAAGCTTTTACTTCTGAATTCAGTATCCAAACGTTAAGGCTAACACTAGGAAGCAACTGAAGGTCTATTGCTGCTTCTACTATCGCCAGTAGGAATTTTTGGTGGAATCCTTCTTAATTTCTACGTTGTAGCATTGTCCGAGCACCATGATGAAAATGTAGAGGTACATTTTCCACTTGCCGAGTGGGTCATAAGTACAGGTTTCGGCAAACGTCCACCAGAATGAGACACGGTAAAGAAATTTATTGTCCAGGATGGACAGCTTCTGCCATCACTCACCCTTCTTCTTCTCGTGGAGGAGTTGAAATTAATGGTTGGCTACAGTCAGCGTATACTGGCTAACAGTTCCAGCATTGGCCGACGATCTCGCGCAGCAATAGGATTAAATTCATGATCATCTGCTCAGTAAGTAAATTCGTTGGTTACTAGGTCAGCAAGCTCTCTAAATCACTAAAAATCGCTAAAACGACGATCCCTCAAACCCGGCAATACGAAGCTTTACAAATGTAATCGGTGTGATAAATCATGGGGTCGTCAAGAAAGTAAGTGATCGTGGTTAGAAACCACAAAGATAAATCTATACAACAATCACCACTACACCTCTGAGTTCCTTCAGATCGCTACAAACCACTAAGACTGTTACGAACACCTTGATCGTGTGATGGTTTCGTCGTTCGCATGACTGTCCTACATAATGAAATATCATTAAGAAAACTCACTGAACCGAGTTGCAAGTCCCCTGTGCTAGCTAAACTGCACTATAGGCTCACTGCAAAACTCCAAAACGAAGCCATCCCGTTGCGAGTTTAACAAGCCTTATCACTTCTCCATTAGTGTGGAATTCCCAGGAACCCGATAATATCCTTGAGCATGTCCTGAGGCGTGGAATCGTGTGGCTTTAATGTGAGTATTATCCACACGAAATGCATGTATCTTGTTAATCAATTGATTACTTGATGGCTGGTACTTTAAGTCAGGTTGACCGAAACGCTGGTAAAACATACTCTCCATGGTACGCAATTCACTTTTCACCACAGCGTTAATACTGAACTACGTTGCTTCTGTCCAGCAAGGATATGACAAATATTTGTCTACGATAGAACCCAGAGCAGTTTACCATGTACCTACCAAAAGCCAAGCACAGCACAGCCGTACCACTAAATGATGGAGGAAACTGAATTTCCTACTTAGCTCTACGCCCTGTGATCTCTCCATCTCGATGCATTTTGCCATCAGGACTCTTCCTTCTCATAATGGAAAAACAAACAACTCGAACGCTTTCAGATCAATTAGGGCTCAAACCATCGTCAGAATATTTCACCAATCACCTTAACCAATCTCTCTGTGTTCCGTCAAGAGACGTGCACCTTTCAGCAAGGGATACCGGAAAACACTTATTATTATTCCTGGTGCTATTGCTGCCAGACAGTGTACTGCCGATGGTGGTTCCAGTTTCTAAAAAAACACACACATTTCCGGTAACCAGGTTAAATGAAATTCAACCAACCAGTCATCTGGTAACCCGAAGCCAAGCACGGCTGGAACCAATACCGTAGCACCGTCTGCGGGAGCTGCATCCCACTGAAGCGATGCGATGGAGCAGCTGAGAAAATCGTGAGCTCCATAAACGTTGTTTGGTCGGTGCATAATACACGCTTCACCGCATCTTCATACATGAAGATGGACGAGGTTTTTGGAACTTGATCAAATTTCTTGCACAGAAATGGTTGATTGCAACCAGGGATGGATTCAAAATTATGCAATTGCATTTTTTTTCAACAGCGACTCGAAACATTATTATGCCCAAAAGCAAAGTGAAATTGCTCAATCCGATGATGGCATATAGTTTTGTGTGTAGCACCCCATCGAAGGCTTTCAACTCAAATGTGAACCGGTATTTGTCTTCATCGAAATGTATCCGGTTGATAAAGCATGAACACACACACGTAGAAAACCCATCGAATGAAGTGCGGGAAAACTTCATTCCCATTTCCCGCTTGATGAGGTCGGGAAGATATGCAACCATGGCGAATAAGAAACAAAAACAAACCAACGAACCGACAGCGATTGCTTGGTGCACAAACTTCCCGGAAGAGCGGACCCGACGAGCGATGAAGATAATTTATAGTCTTCCGCAAGACGAGCATCGTCGGATGGACTCGACCGACAGAAAGTGATGAAGCTTTCGCCACCCCATGCTCGTGCCAACCAAATGCGGAACTGAAAGTTGATGTGGTGCATCGGGAAAAGTGATAGCAGTTTTTCCTGAGTTGGATGGAAAAGTGTGTGGGGGAATAAAAACTGTGCCGCAGCTCTGCGCTGCTGCTGCTGCTGCTGCTGCCAGCTGATTGCATATTCAATGAGCTGAAACAGATTTCTTCTGGAGCGCACCAGCACCCAGTAGGGAAAAGATTGTCATAAATTGGGAACGCTTGTTTGCAACATGCCATCGTGTGATTCGATAACGGTTGAAAAACAAAACTGATGTGGAGAAGAACTTGAAAATTTCTGGAAGTCTTTATTACAGCATTCATTTATAATTTAAAAACAAAGACCGCATTCATTCTTCATGCAACATTGGACAACATTTTATCGGATTTCCCAGAAAGTCTGGAAAAATTTTCAAATTTAAAAAATCTCCTGCTGTTAATTTTTCAAACACATTTTATGAAAATCAAATCAAGCAACAATAGGACTGATATGCGATTATGGGCAGTATAGTTTATGGCGAAAATATGGTCACCAGGCCGGATTTTCACCGGTGCACAATGGGGCAACGATCCCGGTAGCGTGTCCAAAGCTCTAGCGTCGTGGATATGCATCCTACAGATTTGCAGTCTTGTACAAAGAGGCCGGCTTTCGGTGGTTTCCGATTAGTTCGTATTCCTGCCGCTTCCTACAAGGATTCGTGTGGGATGCACCCATGGGCTACATCCGCCTCTTTTAACTGGCTAGCTCGAGCCTGAGGCCACGTAGGCTCAAGGTCGGCTTTAAGCTTTTTAGACACTGATCGGAAGCACAAAAACACCACTAAATGTACTTTTAAAGGTTTTATTTAACTTACGGTGTGTCTTGTGTTGATGTTGCGCTACTCTGCTTTTAAGTTTATGACGCATACCTGACTCGTGCTGCGTGAATTGTTCACTTTTGTCGTTTTTTTTAACTTTTGGTTGAAATTTGACAGATGGTAAGTTATCGATTAACCCTGCTATCCGAGCATGGTTATTTCTGACAGACAAGAAGTTAAATTTTGACAATCGTGGCTCGAAAACCGGTCGATCGACAGCACGGGGATTTTCGAACATAGAAAATAACTTTCGAAATGTCATTTTAAACCACAAGTTAAATTCAACTCAGCAAATGGTTCACAACCTTAGTAGGCTGATGTGTCACGGGTTACTCAGGCTGTGTTCCATTTGGTGAATTTTCACTTAAATTTGACAGATGGAAAAGTAAATACTTCCATCGTGAATTACCGGAAAATTGCTCTAGCTACGGCAGGCGTATTTGCTTTTATAATTTTAAATAAAATGAGAAGGAGAAGATGCACTTTATGGAGTAGGAAATGGTTGCTCAGGAGGAACACCAGCAGGGAGCTGGCTAATCTTGTTCTTCAAGAACTGTGATATGAAGACGAAAAAGGATTTCAAAACTTTGCCAGGATGTCGATACCAACTTTCAACAAACTAGTGGGAAAAGTTCTCTATAGATCTACATGATTCCTTGAGTTCTGAAAATTTATGTTAAGTCAAGGTTGTGTGGTCTGGTCAGAAGATGATGCAGCTTCGAATTGTTGATTTCCAACATCCGACGATACCTCTTCCATCGATGAACGTACCTCTGAAGATCTCGATTTATACGTAACAGGTTTAAGGTGTGACACATTCCTATGGTAAGTCTTTCCTGTTTCCAAAGATCGAAGTTCCACATCCGTGCCTGACAGTTTTCTTATCTTGAACTGTTCTGAACCAAAATTACTGCTGAGTTTATTTTCTTTTGACATCC